GATCAAAGTGTTCAATTTGGAAAATAAAAACTAAAAATCTTGTCAAGCCCTTGCCACAGCAGTAAGTGTCTTCACCAACTGGGCCCTAACTTGTCAGATTCATCATGTGTCACGCTCTCCTAAGCACTTTTTGGTCTTTACACTATGTAGTACTTTCCAGAACATGCTCTGTGCTTTCTCCAGCCCCACACCTTAGTACAGGCTGTGCCCTTGGTCAGATTGTCCTCATCTGATTGTCTTCCTAGGCTTATTTACTACCCCTCACTGCCACACCAATCTTGATAAGTTTGTTTATAATTTTTATAAGTTTATTGTAAAATGGATTAGCTTTACTTATAAATATTTAGGGCAAGGTTGTGTTATTGTGAGCATCCCCTTCAGGCAAAAGACCACTTTTTTGTCTTTGAATTTCTAGTGGCTATCATAAAGGAGGTATTTAGTAAAGGCTTATTGGATGAATTAATGGAAGATCACACTAAATACTCTTCTATATTTGATTGAGGGCCTATGCAATGTGGTTAAGAGGATGGACTTAAAAGATAGAGTTAAAACAGATTCATTCTACCATTTTCATGTTACATTGAGCAAGATACCTTAAAATATGCTTGGATCTCTCATCTACTATTGGGACTAATAATAGAATAGAATCCACTTTGTGTGCTGTTGAGAAGATTAAATGAATACATATACAGAAATTATTTAAAAGAGTTTTGGCAAATAATCACTCCATCAAGGTTAGTTACCATTATTATTATTTTGTGCTGAAATTTATAAAAAAAAATGTAAGTAGAGGGGTACTTTACTTAAGGACCAGATCAGTTTTAAACACATCCACTATAATATGATCTGATGTCATAGTAACATTATTTTGGTTTTGCCTGCCCAGCATTCTTATCACCGTTTTCTCTAAAAACTCTCAGGTTTTTCTTGAGGAATCATGTTTCCCAATCTTGTGGTAGTTTCCAGGGTTAGCCACCCAACCCAGATGTGGCTGAAGAGAAACAGGGTTTTGTTCAGGGCTGGGCCATAACCCAAGCTGGGCCACTGATACTCAGACTGGCACTTCTGCTGCAACTGAGGTAAGGAATTAATGAGAACATGAGTCTACAGGTGGGAAGAAAACAGAGCCCAGAGATGGAGAGAGACACAATTCCTAATCACAGCATGTGACTTTCTGGGCCCTGCTGAGTTTTTTCTTTGTTTGAATATGCAATAGCCAGGAAATCATGTTTTCAACTTCACTCAGTTTACTGGGTCTTTGGTACCACAATCCAGTGTCCTGAGCCATGTGATCACCACCATTGTAAAGGTGAAGGTGTTGATGTTAACTCATTATCTCATTGAGTCCTACATGGATTTTAAGGTGTCATTGTAAAGAAACTAGTTTACACCATGAATTTTTGTCCAGATGAATATAGGGATTTATCAAAGAATCATAGTATCTTCATACTTGGTGGCCAGAGAGCGGTAAATACAAGACCCTAGAAATTGCTCCTCTAACTTTGTATGTGCATGGAGATCCTTGAGAAACTTGTAGAAAAGGCAGGTTCTGAGGCTCCACCCAAAAATTCTGCAGCAGGCTCAGGAATCTGAATTTCTCATGCACACCCCAAAGATGTGGATAGTTCAGTGATGCTGGCTGTCCACTTTGAGAAATACCACCCTAGAGAGTCCAATTTTGTTTAGGTGTTGTAGGCCAGTGGTAGGCAAACTCATTAGTCAACACAGCTAAATATCAGAGTACAAGGATTGAAATTTCTTTTGAGAGCCAATTTTTTTAAAACTTAAACTTCTTCTAATGCCACTTCTTCAAAATAGACTCACCCAGGCTGTGGTATTTTGTGGAAGAGCCACACTCAAGGGGCCAAAGAGCTGAATGTGACTCAAGAACCGTAGTTTGCCGACCACGGTTGTAGGCAATTCTAGAGTACTCAAATTCATAGGGAAGTAATCCCCAGAAAGTAACAAAATGCAGAAATTCCCATAATTATTTCAGAAAGTAAAATAACTTCAAAGACAGCCTGAGTTTAAGTACTAATTCTAAAGCAAGTATTAAGAAATTTGGAACTGTCTCAGATCTACAACAGGGAGGAAGTGAGCATTATATCCAGTTATCTCTGTGGCTATTTTCTATAAAATAAGATAAAAAGAAGCGGTGTGGAATAAAAACAATAATTTAGAAATTGATTTCAGGCTTATGGCTTTATTAATTTCACTACAATAAACTATAGTAACTCTGCAGTAAATCATTGCAAACAATTAACAAAGACGACCTTTGAGAATTCATCTCAGTTTTTAACAGAGCAGCTATAATGAGCACAATTATAATAATTGGTAAGAAGCTTTTGCAACATTCCATAATACATAAAAGACAACATGGCAAAATGAAATAGATTGTTTTTTGAGGATAGCACATGGGTTTCACAAAGGAAATCTTATGTTGACTGGGATGCGTAAGGGGGTGATACAAAAGTCATTTGATGCTGTATCAGATACCATGGGAATAAGAAAACCATTTCCAGATGTGTATCCATGTTTGTCTTTGTTAAGGGTCAGTGGTTACATAATGGCCAACGATATGCCTACATCAGGGCAACCATACAGCCCTTTCAACAGGGGCTCCCCAAGAGAATCAAGCCAAAATACTACAAAGCATCCATTGTATGCAATGGATCAACTCTCCTATGCATGAAAATGGCATTAGCTTTGTACCATCCTTGGGAGAACTGAGAAAAGGGTCTCTCTAATCATTTTTTTGTAGGGCTTAGTGGCCTTGTGAAACCCCGTTGAGAAAGGCTAACTGCCACTCCTTAAAAACTAAAACATATCCTCTGGGGTAAATAGCTGTGTAACTGTTTTTGATCCCACACAAAGTGGTCTTGTAAAAGTAAGTGGCTCATCAAGCAATTTGAAATCTCACAAATGGAACCAGAAACTAGAAGAGGAATGTACTGTGCTCACAGGTCATACTTTGCGCATCAACATTCAACTCTGTTGCACACGTGTGCCCTGAGATTAACGATGTCAGCGGAACTCAACTGCAGTTCCACAGAACCACACAATAAGACTTTACAGCACAAATGTCTTGGACTCCATCCACAACTGTGAGCTGTTAAACTGCTACGTGCATTGCATTATGTGCAGATCCTATTCACTCCAAGGAAAATATGGTAGTAGGACTTCAGCAGATTAACAAAATAAATTTTCATTTGTTCTGTGCTGGGAGCTTTGTAAAAGGTTCACACGTTTACAAATGGGTTTCTACGTGGAGACTGATCTTAGTGATCTTGATTTTTGTGTCAGACCCTGCTTACTGACCGTTTCAGTATCCATTCTCCCTCCATTCCTGGTAGTAGAACGCAGATTTTTATCTGCACACATTGATAGAATGAAATACTACATTTCCCAGCTTCCATGCAGCTAGCTATAGCCAATGAATGTAAAACTAAGTGGAAATGTTGTATGTAAATAGGAAATATTTCACTGGAAGGGGTTCTCTTCTTTACCCGACAGCTATCAACCCCTCCCCTTCTTCTGCCTGGCAAAGAATGTAATCAATGGAAAACCCACAACCATCTTGAACATGGATGTGACCTTAAGTGTGGAAGCCATGCAGAATGATGGAATAGAGAAATAAAACCATCTGACTACTCCACCACATTGCTGCCCTACTCCCTGGGTTGTCAACTCCAGACTCCTTTAACACCAGAGAGCAAGACATTTCCATCATGCATCGGCCTTTGTTGTCTTGAGTTTTCTGTTTCAAGTGGCAGAACCTAAACCCAATTAGTATAATTTGCATGCAATTTCTCATTCAGCAAAGGCAAGGTGAATTAAGAAACTAATTTGGATTAGATTTTTGAACTGGTTTGCAACCTCTGAAATTGGAATGATGGGCAAATAAAAGGAAGCACTACTTTATCTAAGTGCTAATAGGCATATGGAAACAGCTTTTTTACTGGTTATAAATGTATGTAATTAAAGAGGAATTAAGATCAATAATAGGTAAAGAAAATAAATCAGTACAATGTGTGCTATAAATAAAAATTAGTAAAATTAGTATTATGGTAGAGAGCATACCATATAATAAATACTATCAAAAGTACCAAGCCAGAAAAGGTATAAATTGAAGTCTGACATGCAGACATCCATGTGTCTTTTTTAATTTGTATATTGGTTCTTGATACCTTTATGTGACTAATTTATTCTATATGTAGTTAAATAATCCACTTCTCAGCCGATGGACAATTTTGGTCTTTTAGCTTTTATGTATAGCAGACAAACATCTTAGAAAAATCCCCAGGACAATAGAAAATTATTAACATGCTTTTGATGTCCAGTGAGTCCTTTCAAGTCTGATTTTTACTCTGTACTCTTGAAAAGACATTAACATATTTTAAATGGACTCAGCAAAAAGGAATGAAAGCACAAGATTGTATTTCAAACAAAGTCTATTTCTTAGATTGTTTCTGATCATCCAGGCAGAAATTTCATTTCAGTCTTGCTCTAAATAATGATAAGAATTTGTGGTTATTATGATTATTTGTTCAGTAATATTTGGGGGAGGAAAATATTTATGTTAAATATTCCACTAGGAGATTAGAGCTACCCAAACTCATGTCTATTCCAATGTTAGGTGAACCTCTGGGAAAGTGTTAAGACCCATCACTTCTGTGTAATCTCCATAATATTCTTTTAATACCTGCAAAGCTGTGTTCTATCTTCATATGCAAATTTCTTTCATTGTGGTTATATGAATTATCAGTGCACATTATTTATTCTTCACTCTAACAACGTAAGGCAGAGTGTAGATATCTAATTTAGAGTGATTTACTTATTGTCTTCTCAATCAGCTGCTGGATACTCTTCTTTATGTTAAGCACAAGGGTGGAAAGATTTTAGATGTTTAAAAGGATTCTATTTCTAAAAAATAATTTTTTTCTATCCCTAACTTTTTAAAATTATAAATATATATGATTGGCAAGATAAAGATACATTACCCCTGTGACATCCATAACTTTAATGGCTGCAAGCTGGCCCGTTTTGACATGGCGACCCTGTATGAAAAAGATAAAATAAAGAGGGTTTTAGTTCTGATGAGCAATATTATCATTCCCACTGGGAAGAACAATATTACCTAGATTAATGTTACAGAATGCCAATGAGGAAGAGACGGATACACACACACACACACACACACACACACACACACACACACATATCTTAAATGCTTTGAGATCAAGTTCTATTTAGTGTTTATTTTGTAAAACATCTCCATTACTTTGTCTTTTGGGCTTGTTTTCACACTAGTTGTCAAGTTAAATAAAAAAGGCAATGCTGAATAATTTGGTTCTACCTCCCCTCCAAAGTGTTAGATGAGGGCTTGTGTGAGAGGTGGATTTGTTTGGAAGGGGAGCCAGACCTAACTGGAGGAGACACAGTATTTCCTCTGTCCAAAAATCCTCACTATGTAAAGAGACTTTAGGGTCCTTGATGATTAAAGTATCTTGTAACGGTCTGAATTGGTTGTTTGTACTTCCAATTTAGTAACTGCTATAATGTCATTGACGGTGACAATGGAAAAGACAATATCCTTGTTCGCCATTTTAAATTTCCCTGCCAAGCTGAAATAAGAGTTCCCGATGGGTCTGACAGATGACTGACTAATACAACTCTGGGATGGCAGCTTCAGCTAAATTGAGAACCTGGAGATGGAACAATTAGCAGGCTCAGCTCAGGCCCAAGCAACGGCATCCCCAGCGCCTGGCAACAGGAGGGCAGCGGAGCTGTCAACCTTTGAAGGGGGAGAGCCCCGAAGGAGGCTGCCTGGCTTGAGTGGCCTTTTACATCACTGGAGAATGTCAAACCTAATTAGGGTCCAGATTGGGAAAGACTGTGAAGGACTGGCCAGGAGTTAGCTGACCCAGAGATCGCTAGAAACCGGAGGCACAGCCATTGCTGAGATAGTGTTTAGAGAATCAACTTCATAAAATCACAAATAAATTGCACAGGAAGAACCAGTCCTTCATCCACTATCCTTCTTTCAGAGAGAGGCCGAATCTCACAACTAATAAGGACCTAAAATCCTGGACACTTATCCTGCTTCTGCCCTCCAGATCCTGAATTTAAAATTCTTATGATGAAAATGAAAAAAAAAAAAAAGATTTTTAAGCAAACTTTCTTTTCATATTTTACTTGAGTTAAACATTGAGACATTCATCTCTCATGTAGGATTTTACTTTTTTAATTTGAGGACAAAGCAAAAAGGATGTTATTAAAGGAGACATTTGAAGTGAAAATGTAATATTACTCCTAATTTTAAGTTACTCCCATTTATGAGAGCAATGAAAAATATAAACCTAGACTCTATACCTCAGTTTGGATCTAAAAATACACATTCAACTAAGGACTAAAAATTAAATTCTGAGGGAGGTGGAACACTTTAAAGGAAGACAAAGGGTTACATTTCCCCCCACAAAAAGTAGAAGAAGAAAAAATCCTGTCAGAGTGCAATTGCTGAGTCATTTCTTAATAAAAGAATGAAGTAAAATTCTCTTCTTCCGAAATAACAATAACAAAAATAACAGACTAAATCTCGAAAACAAAACTAAAATTCCAGTAGCACCCAAAGCCTTATGTCAATCTTCTCCTCAAAAGTACAAGGCCCGTCCACAAGGAAAGAGGAAGAAAGCACAGCAAACTGATGAAAGCAGAGCTGGCAGGCCCAGACCAGCTTGGTCCTCTGTGGCCCTTCTTCCTTTCTTCTACCTCGCGTTTGAGGTAAAGAGCTGAGCTGATGCTTGTTCCTCACAGAGTAATTCAATATCAAGGTGAAATCTAAATCACTCAAGGATAGGGCACTCTACCTCCTCCCTAAAATGAATGCAAGAGAAAAACAATGGTTTTGTCGTGAAATAGCCCTGAAAGCCTAGGCTTTGTTATAGCTGTTATTTATTTTCTAAGGAACAGCAAGATGGCTTTAGAGCTGCTAGCCTGAGGCTAGCCTGGAAGAAAGTATTTTCATTTCTAGGTCACTGAAATACATCTGTTTCCAGCTGACCACATGAGTAAGTGGGGTTGTGGAAAATGCAGACATTCCACCCACTATCTCCTTCCCCTGTCCAAGGACTCACATCCGGTAGAATGTGAGAGTTCCTCGTTCTTAGCTTAGATTAGATCTAGCCTTTATTGAGGAAGATTTCTTCCATTTTCTAATTGCAGGTGATGGGCTTAGTTTCATGTTTCCAAAGCATTCTACACAAACACAACTAATCATATCCAATAGTGTGATTTTCAAAATGTGCATCTCAAGAACCATGAAAATAAACTCAAATAGAAAAAAAAAAAATCACAATGTGAGCATGCAGCAGTGGCAGTTGTTGCATGGATCGAATGTTACAGTACATCTGCTGTCTGAATGTTGTCTACTATACATCCATCCATTCACCCATCCTTCTTTCCATTAATAATTGATGCTGTAGTACACCATTCAGATGGAATACTGAAGTACCCTACAGCTGTCAGCCAAGACCCTTTTTGGTCACTGGTCTCAGCCAAAAGAGCACTGTTCAAAGTCATGCTCCCTCCTAAAGATAACAGAATCCAATGGCAGGAATAAAAAGGCACAGACTTCTTGTCTTAAAATAGGACAATTCTGAAGGGTCATCTCAGCTCCTGGCCACTCCAAGGGATGGCTGAGGTCTTTGTTGAGACTGCATTGCAGTTAAGCTCTTTCCTCTGCACAATTCTACCCTCTTCACAGGTGTAGAGCCTAAGAACATTCCCCAGTAAAATTCCTACATATAAGTCAATAAATCGGGATATGTTCCAGAGGAACCCTCCCTCGGACAGTTGGTTCCAGGAATGACCCTTATCCCTGGTGGCAGGTGGCTTATTGACTGCTCCTGACATACTGTAGCTGTGTCGCTGTCAAATGTTCACTAGTGGGGAACAGGAGTAGGATACAAGTGCCAGAGAGTACACTGATGAGTCCAATGTTTCATACTTTTAAGAGTAGAAATAATACTTTTAAAAAAAGGAATCAGATAGTTGTACTAAGAGACACATACTGGAGAAAGACAAAGAAAAGCTAAGGGTGATTTAGTCACCAACTGAAGGCAATGTGTGAAAATCATAAAGGAGATGAGGTTAAATCCTGAGATCTGTGCACTGTCTTCAATCAAGATGGGAACATCACACCTATAGGCTCAGTGTGTTCATTCCAAGTTTCAGAGTCTCATTCCTTCTGAATCAGGCTGGAGTTGAGGGTTACACCTCTTACTCTACCCTGATCATTGATTCCTGCGTCTGGTTCTCAGCTTTTTCTACTCTCTGGCTACAGAGGATTCAGGTCTTTTGTTATATATCCAGGCTGCAGTCAAGCCTGAGAAAGCCATGTTGAGCTCAGACATCTCAGGAATGAGGGTCTGGGTCCTTCCAACAAGACCACCATCTAGATCGGCAAAGATTTGAACCAAGATTGGGGGTTGGGGGGCTAAAATGGGGAGGAGATGATGAGCATCAGTGCAACCATTAGACATTATGCAATGGTGAGGGCTTCTACCTTTGCCTAGGAAAAGAGATCAGTCAGAATCCTAGAGGAGCTGTTTCCAGAACTTACTATACAAAGCAAGAAGACCGAAGTAACACAAGAGACTGTAATGTGACCCCCAATCCCTTCTTCAGGAATGAGGTTCTCTGAGTCTCTCTCCAGGAATTTACTCTAGCCAAACACAGCAGGTGGACTCAAGGGCATGCTCCCTGCCTTAACCAATGCCCTTTGCCTGGAGGCAGCAAGCAGGCAATGACTGGTTGGTGTAGGAATATAAAAGCCTACACCCCTTATATCCAAGTGGAACAATGTTGAAGGGAAGGGGCATATCAGCTCCCTTTCTGGATTCACTTGAGGCTTTGTAGCTGCATTCAACTTCTTCTACTACCCAATTCTGTCTTTGCTCTCTCACAGGTGTTGATACAGCACTCCCCAAAAAGACACCTACAAGCAAACATCTGTCCTCAGAATCTGTTCCCTAGGGAACTCAATCAAAGACTCTATGTATCCATCTACCTACATATCTACCTTCCTACCTATATATTAGTATGTGTACTCTTAATATTAATGTAAAATAATATATTTCTTACTCCATCTGGGATAAATTTTTTTAAAAGCTCTGACCTAAAAGATGAATATAATAAACTAGTTAAGCTTTGGGTAGTATACTCCAAATTAAAAACAAACAAACAAACAAACAAACAAACAAAAAACAATAAAAAAAAAACACCCCAGCATGTTCAAAGCCCATGTTGTGTAGTTAGAGCATCTGAATAATTAAAAGCAGGCCAGTATAGCTGGAGTAGAGAGTAAGTGTCTAGCAAAGACTTCACAGGCCACTTTGAGGAGGTCTGTCTTTATCCTACGACCAATGGGCAGCCACTGAAACATATGAAGCAAGGGTGTAAAGTGCTCAAGTCTCATTTTGCAAAGATTGTCCTAGGGGCAAGACCTAAAACAGAGGAAACCAGATAAGATGATGGAAAATAACAGTTATAATGCTACTTAGTAATTCATTTGAGATATGATGGCGACTTGAGCTGGGATCGAAGTTACAAAGAATGCCAGTAGTAGACAGAGTCAAAAAAAGATATTCAGGAGGTCAAATCAGCAAGATTTCGAAGTCAGATATATATTGACCTCACACTTCCCACAATGCCTGACACAGCAGGGATCCAATAAATATTTGCTAGATAACAGATTGAATAAAGTAGTGAGATTTGAGGGTTGTATCAGGTTCTTGGTCAATACCATCCTATGTCTACATCCGTTTCTCCCATCCCCACCCACTACCCACATTTCTGTCCAGCGGCAAAGTGGATAGTGGCAGATGAGGTGGGGTGGTAAGCAGGAATTCCAGGCATTTCATCCCAAATAAGTTAGAAGATGAATTTAGTGGATGAGGGTCCTTTACATTTTACAGAGACATTAATTTACCCTTCCACAGATCACAGAGAAACTAGAAATTGGTTTTAGCTCTTTCCTTCTGAACTGTGATGATGATGG